GACTGAAGGACCTGTGTGTTGGGTTTATCTTCTTTCCACACTCCTGCATAGAACAAAGCTGGCATTCCCTGACCTTCACAGCCTGTCACAGTCCCCAGGCTCACTGCGATGAAGAAGATTAAGAAGGCTTTAGGATTATGTTTTTTCCCTTCCTGTTCAGTGACAGAGTTCTATCATTTACATTAGGCAACATCAATTGATGTTCTGCTGTTGTAAAAGTACCCTAAAATTTCAGATATGCCATATCTTGTTACTGAAAAGACTAAATAAATGCAGCAAAATACAGTAATCAGCTCTGAGGTATCTGGATATAGAGTAAGTTGTGTCTTTTTTTTTTTTTTTTTAATTAGTGGTTCAATTAGATATTGTACAACTCCCCATACAGCAGTCTCAAAAGTGGCCAGGCATTTTGCCTGTGGTAGTCCTAAGATAACTGCATCAGGCAAATTCATATGTGGATGGTCTTCATCAGTAACAAATATTGTATGCATGCTGTTTGAATCTGCATTGTCAATTTGAATGATTTTCCTATAGCGTCTAACAAATATATGTAAGCATGGAAAAATTCCATTGCTGTGTATAAAAACAGGCAGCACAGCTGAGGTTTACGACTAATCCAGGGAAAACTGAATCCTATCAAAAACCTACTCTTGATGCTCAAACATTCATTTTTCAATGGTTCTCACTCATTGTCATTTCCTACTGGCAGTGCATATGGAGGGGCATGCAGCTGCTCAGTCTGACAGTTCCAAATGGAGCTGGTTTTTAGTTTTTAAAAATGAAACAAAGTTTACAAGGAGGAAGCAGCACATTCAACCTTTGTGTTAGATAAGAAGGGCGTTAAGTGAAGAGTCAGGGAGTTTGTCTCATTGACAAATTACTTCATGTGTGTATCATTAACTTCCATTTTATGTCACTTAAACAAGCAGAATAAGTGATTTCACATCACCTGGTCCTTTAATGCACCAATGGATAATTTACTCTTCCCTGGGCCAAAAGGCTGAAGCCAGGAATTTCACTGTTAGAATGACTATAGTGCAAATATAGATCCATGGTCAGAGCCAGGGGAAATTAAAGTACCTAAATTCTAAATTTTATTGGAACTAAAGCTTCTCTTTTCCTAAAGCTTGTCTTAATACACATGTCCAGAAGTCTTTCCTTCCTAGACCCTTGTGAAGTATTGAGCTCATTATTTTACAAAAATTACACCTACAAGCATAAGTTATCTATAAAACATAACCTAGCATTTCAAAAGGAGCTGGTGATTCAGATTTCACTCTACTAAAAAAGCTGTGCATTGGTGCACATGTACAGGTACATGCCCAGACTCAGAAGACAACCACTGGTTAAAATGTGACTGTCCCTGTTTTGGATCTTTCCTATTCAGCGTTTAAATCACTACATTCCAAGTAACACTTATCCTTTGCATCTTTGAAATTCCTAAATTCAGTTATCTTGACCTTATTGTGGTATGCTAAAGCGACATCAACAGCTGAGATGCAGTGTGGTCCCTTGCATGAATATGTCATAATCAGCTATTTGGTATGCTATCAGGACATAAAAATTTGGAAGCATTTGGGACTCCTCTACCCTGAGCAACAACTCTGTTCACTACGTTACTGTACAACCATTTAATTAATAAAATAACAAATGTAAAATCAGAATTTTCAAAATAGAATTCTTACAAGAGAAAATGAAATACTCAAAAATAAAAATATATCTCTTTCATTCCATGCTCTGAACTGGAGCATTTTTCATATGGTTTTAGGCAGAAAACTTCCCATAAAAGAGAAATTATACTTTCTAGACAGAGGTAAGAATTACTTATTTTGGCATTAAAAATGGATAATATTTGTCAAAAGACATACCTGATTGTATATGAAATGAAACACTGAACTCTAATTTCTTTTAAGACTAGATGACAACCACAGATTGTAATAGAGATACAACCTACTGTGTGTTACTTACGAGGTATAGTTTCACAACATTAAATTCTCTTACCTCGTTTCTCACTGGAACCATAGGTAGGTAGATCCCACCAGTGCCACATACCTTTTTCAGTTTGATGACTCCTTCCTGGGTATTCTCATCTGTTGTGATGTCAAACAAGTTTCCTCCATCTCCTGGAACTATGTTGTACTCAATTTCTGCATTCTTCCCAAAATCAGGGTCCACAGCTCTGATCCTTCCAATAGCAGAACCAACATGAGAGGACTCAGGTACTTTTAAATGGAAGATACCTGTGACAAAGCAGTGGACAGTTATTCTTGGGATTTCTTGATAATTAAAATAGTATGTGATTAAAACCATATAGCCTGTGAAAAATAATCAGATTTAAAGAATACAATTAAAATTATGAGATCAAAACAACAACGGATGAGAAGAAGATGTGCATGTTTCACCCACTGAACATGCGGATTTCCACTAGTTTCTAGATTTGGTCCAGTAGAGCTGTCGGGGTCTTAACATTTCTCTCTCTTGAGTTATCTATCAATATTTCTATCTTTAATTTTACCCATTTGGCTGTTTCTTTTGAATTAAATTCTACTTGTAGACAGTACACATTTATAAGCATGTTCTTCTTCCTTTGTTTAACAGTTTTTAGTGCCTGAATTTTTATTTTGTTTGAGAAAATATATATATGCATTTCACAGTAAAAATTCAGTGGAAAAGGATTTCCACTAATTTCTGTAATAGTCTGTATTATAACTACATGTACAACTCCTGGGAGGGGGAAGATATTGTATACACTTTAGCCACCAGAGGGTACTCTTACTAAAATCTTAGTGCTAAACATAAATTTTTAGCTCTGCAGACTTTGATTTTCAGTTTATTTACTATTAGTGCTCATAGAAGTTATTAAAAAAAACCAACAAAAAACCCCACACAAAATAAAATTACACACTTTTAAAATAAGCATTACCACTGATGTGCAAGGAAAAAACTGTTTAATTGAGAGAAACAACTATGTTGGAAAAGTGTTAGACATAGAAGTTAAAATAGGTCCAAAAACAGGTCCAAAATACTGAGTCAGCCTTGACTTTGATGACATCAGTAGCAGCAAGACTTAGTTTACAGCACCATGCGGTGGCTTATTAAAGTGCTGATGAAGCAGCTGCTTTCCTGCTCAGCTGCACCTCCCGCTGTACGCTGCACAGCTGCCCACCAACACCACCGGGACAAGTATTTCCAGCGGGCAGGTAGTGCTCACCCTTCTTCACGCAGAAGCCTTTGCTGTCAAAACCTCCAGCAGCTTTTGGACCTGATTTCAGTGCGCTCAGGATGTTTGATTCACTTCACCTTGGCTCTCAACAAAGACAGTACTTGCTTGCCCCATAGTTTGGTTTTCCTGGGTCACCGTCCAACAGCTCTCACAGAGCAGCCCCACCAGGACAGGAAAACATCAGCAATGGCCTTCGCTGTTCCTCTACATGTGAACATATAGGAGGGACTTTACACCTCTTTTTCAATGATACAAGAGGGGAGGCATCTGTGGCTAGTGGGACACACATTAGAGGGATGTCTCAGAATTTTCCGCCTGGTCACACTTCACAAAACAAGGCTCTCAGAAGTTGCATATTGTGTAACAGCAGGATAGATGACTTTCGCATACAGCAGCAGAATTAAACAGCAGATGCTGTTCCCTTCTGTTATCTTCTTACAATGCATGCTGTGTCAGCTTTTTCAGCTTTACAGTATTACCAGGTGAGGAAAAAAAAAATTACATTAGCACTGCTGGATTAGGAGCAAACCTATTCTTTTTTTGAGCTAGTAGTTTGGGCTATGGAATCTATATAATTGTCTGTTTGGTTGCCTCTGAAAGAATGGGTTTTGCCTGCTCCTTCCCTCTGTCCATCAGTATGCAAAGTATACCTGAAGGCAGAACTTGCTTTGCCTGAGAAAATCCCTGTAAGTAAAGTCTGGTTGTGTCAGCATTCACATTTGGGTATTACTATGTATAGCTTTATAGTGCTCATTGACTGAGCTACTGAAAGTTGTGTTATTATTAATATTTAATTATTTTTTTCCTAAAGAACCCCTTATATAGGTTCTATTTATTCTAAAGTATCTTTTCCTTCTTCTTTTTCCAAAGGAATGTACTAAAGGAAATCTTACTTCTTGTTTTAATAGCTGCAAAGGAGAAATAGGACACAAAATGTTATCAAGACAAGAGTAACGACAGCTATTTCTTAGTCGCACTTCAATGGTTCTGAGCGAAGAATAACATTTTACCATGGTATGCAGAAGACAATCACAAATCCTCCTATTATCTAGTGTAATTTACAAATATGTGTCTTACCGGGTATTTGCTACGGAAGTTATTCAGAAGAGGTAGAAGAGATCCAAAAGGGCTTTGCCTATATTTGAATCATACATTACATTCCCCACAACAAAGTTTATCCCTGATGCCCAGGTTATTTACAGACACTTACAATGGATGACAGAAACCATTGTTGAAGTGTTTGCTTTTTACAGCCACAATTTTGGTGAATGTAAAATGTAAAAGCATATAATTTGATCTATTGATCTATTCTTAGTGAACTGAAGAGCTCTCAGATTTGTTAAGACAAACATTCCTCTATAAAATATTGTACCTGGCTGTAAAGCGTATGGGACTTAGGTGGAGTCAAAGAAACACTACATTACTCATTTCAGACTGTTTAGGCTTTTATCAGTTATTTTCAATGACCTGGCATTTCATCACTCCCAGAAATTCAACAGTAATAAAGATGGGGTCATTCAGATTAATTTGAAACTCTGAAGTAATCTTCAACTCTGCCAGAGTCAGATCTCTGAAGATGTAGTATGCAATTACACTGCCATCATCCTCTTGTAATAGTATCTTCACGGCATATGGAAGCTGTTAATGGTGCTACTGTGACAACGTGCTTTCAGAATAAAATAAATAAAAACAAAGAATGTATTTTCGTGCCAGCTCAGGGAAAAAACTTCAAGAGAATATAATGTATAGCATGGAAACCATCTTCCCCCCCCGCCCCCCCTCGGAAAACAGTCTTTGCACAGAGGACATTTGAAATGATCAATACAAGCTGCACATGAAATGTAACAGAAAGACAGTTTTGTAGATTTTTATTTTTCTGTTTCTAGAAGATACTACTTCTTGCTGTGGACTTGCTGTGACAGTTGAGCATTATTCAGTTTTTATTGCCCATTTTGCCTGTATACACTACTACCTCCATTTGCTACAGAGGTATATTGAAACAGGCCTGAGTAATAGCCTTTTACTCCCAAAGGTCCTGAAAACCTTGTTCGCTGCAGCTTCTAGGAATGATGGAAGCAGCAACTCAGACACACAGCTGCTGGTTATGCTGCTAAAACAGTTCTTCCACATTTTGTAGATGGTCTCATGTGATTTCTCTGCCTACAAAAATCTCTCCTTCTACTTGCATAAATCTCTTTTAAATGTGTTTTCTAAGTTTGCTGCTGGCTTTTTAAAGGATTAGTGATATGGGATGTACCAAAGGAGCAAGCCCTTACTTCCCTCACACTGCACGATCACACTGGACTCTGCGAATAGTTATACTTTTGTTGATTTCAGTCATGTACGTTGCATGCAAGTTGGGATATTTTCACCTATAGGAAAGCTAGTAGCAATGCATATTGCCTGGTCAAGGTTTTTCACCCTGTTGTAAATGGAACTTTAAGACAAAAACCTGAAATGTTAATTTAAGGTCAAAAGACATGCACCCATTGATAGGCTTAAATTATGCAACACTTTGCACTTAAATTACACTCAAAATTCAACCCAGAATCAAAACGAGAGAAAGCCCAGTGGTTATATAACTTAGCATAAGCATTCAGGCATTCCCTTATAATGCCTGTGTAGTCTCTTTGTGACATAAGATGTGAAACTTCCTTGGAGTTTCAGCTTGAGCAGCATCAATGAGGATAAAAATAAATGAGTGATGATGCGGTTGAAGCTTTTAGGCTGAAATGACTGATAGGGCTTATTACTCAGCCCCAAAAGCATTCAGGAAAATGAGGTGGAGGAGAGCTAACAACTCATACACACTGCCTCTGAGTTTCTAAAACAAGGACAGTTCCAAAGCACACAGCAGGAAGAAATCAGAGCTTGAGTAAGTGACAGGTAATCAGTCATATTGACTGAAATTCAGCACACATTTACAGTTCTTTTGACATGATTAGATTAGTTTCAGTTTTTAAGGCTCAAAAGCTGTTCTGAGGTTTGATTTTTACTGACAAAGGGTTTCATTTTGCTTTGTGTCTCCACACCTGCAGTTTATGGGTACAGCATCATTTACCAAAAAGGTTTTCAATTCTGGCGAGAATAAGAAATTAAAACCATCATTACATCTCGTCAGCGAAACAACCATTAAGAAATAACCCAGGTTAGCTTCGAAGGACTTAAGCTAAATGCGTTATGGCCTTCAACCAAAGAGCTGTAAATGCTATTTAAACTTTTCTTAATCTATCACCATACTATGTGCATGCAAGATTATCTTCTTGTGATTTTTCTTTGTATATATTTTTTCCAGTTCTCTTTGGCAAAGTATTGTCTTGCAGTTAATCATGTTATCATGAATCTTACAGACAACAACACTGAAAAAAACCTTCTTTCTCTTTGATCTAAATCTTCATGGTTTCCTAAAAAAAAAAAAAAAAAAAGAAAAAGAAAACCCCCCAAAATAATGACATTATGTATATTATAACATATTTCTTAGTTTAAATTATCAAAGTATTTTACTTTTTTTATGCTGACCAGGTTATAAGGACACTGATTTCTGTCTGTTTAGGAAGATTCCAAAGATAGGGGTTCATATTACTTGCTGGTGTTTTAACAATAGTGTAATAGGCAAAAGGGAATGATACTGTAAATACAAGCACATACTCATTATACTAAACCCGTTACATCAGTTACAGCTAATCAGCCTAATAATTAGCAGCAGCTGATGTACGTGCTCCAAAAACTGGGAAGGTGTGATTTAGCGCAGCAACAAGACCTATTAATGCCTCGCCTAGCTGTGTCTCTGTGCCTTCAGGGGGCTGGGACCTGGCAGAGTGAAGAGAAAGGCTGGGCTCTGTCACCATGTCCTCTGATGCAGGTCATGCACGACCCGGTGTAGGCTGGTAAAACCTTGGTTATGGCAAGACTTCTTCCATTCTCAAACCCACTGCTCTGAGTCAGGGCTTACGGCATTACTAGATATAGCATAACCATTCTTAAAAATTCCTGTTTCTCTCTGTGGAACACGAAGTC